TATGTATGTATATTATTGATTTCAGAGAGGAAGGGAGAGGGAAAGATAGAAACATCCATGATTAGAGAGACTCATTGGTCAGCTGTCTCCTGCACACTCCACACTGGGGATCCAGCCCGCAATCTGGGCATGTACCTTGACCAGGAATCAAACCATGACCTCCTGGTTCATAGGTTGACGCTCAATCACTGAGCCACGCTGGCCGAGAAAAACTCCACATTTATATTCCAGTAATCATAACTTTAATGAGGTACATCTGACCACTGCCCAGGAAACACAGGTGGGCATGTGAGGGTCATCTTTAGTAGATCCATTGAGAAGCAGGGACATTAGTGATTCTCTTCTCCCTTTCAGATTCCCCAGGTGCCACATCAACAGATTACACCACGGGTAACCTCATCCGACTTTGTTTGTCTGCCGTGATTATGGTTCTAATGGTGGCTTTTCTGTTGGAAGCCTGCTGGAGCCAGAAATGGTCTCCGTGTGGATCCAGGTAAAACACTGAGCACTTCTCTCTCTCTCATGGGCTGTTGTAGTGATACGGAGTTTCTTTAAACACAAAACTCTGCCATGCGGACTTATATTTTGCAATATGGACACAGATGGGATTTTTGTTCACCAGATGTGACTTTTCTGTTCATTGTAAGAACATTTAGTATCTCTTTTCTTTTCCTATTCAACAGCAGTGAAGATCCAATTATTGTGGAAGAATTAAAGCAGGTACTGCCCATATACCATTTCAAACACCCCTATATGGGGAGGATGGGGAGAAGGGGTGATTCTTCCTGGTTGACATGCTGTGAGAGATTATGAAAAGAAATAACCTTCCTTTGCTTCCCTACCTTGGTCTCAGGTCTGTCCTTTATCCACAGGTCCCACAACTGCCTGGGGAAACAATGGGTACTTGATCCAGCTAGATCTGCTGAGTCTTAACAGCTCTGTGAAACCTCCATTCTCAGCCAGCCCAGGACAAGATGATGACTTTCTCCTTCCTGTGCTCTTCACCTGGGCCAGATGGCAGGACTGACCACAAAGACTCACCTAACACATTTTGAATGACTTTGAAAAAATACTTACAAGTTCATCATTGGACTGAGTAGTAGGTACAGTCCCATGAGCAGGAAGTGTTCTTCCACTGAAAACTGGGGGAGCCAGCCAGTGTGGCTCAGTGGTTGACCGTTGACCAATGAACCAGGAGGTTGTGGTTCAATTCCCATCAGCGCATGTGCCCAGTTGTGGGCTCCCATCCCCAGTGTGGGGCATGTAGAGGGCAACCAATCAATGATTCTTATCATTGATGATTTCTCTCTCTATTTCTCTCTCTCTCTCTCTCTCTCCCTCCCTCCCTCCCTCCCTCCTCCCCTTTCCGAGCTGAAATCCATAAAAAATATATATTTTCAAAAACTGGGAGAAAGATGGGTTCCTATATAGTATTTATTAGTGATTCCCCTCCACTATTTTCTGTTCTCGACTAACAATTGGTCACATGTTGGAATTTCTGTATTTATCACATATCTTTTACATTTCATTTCATACATTCCAAACATTTTACCTCATTTGGGGGAAGTCTACTCTACATCATATTAACAATTTGCTCTTGAGTTGTCCCCAGTATTTCTTGTGCAGGTGTAAAATGTCATCCATCATGTTTTTGTTTGCAAGATCTGTTGTTTCTTGTTCAAATAATAATTCTTGATTTAGAACTATTATCTCTCCTCAGTCCAAAGATATGCTCATAGAGAAATCAGGTTCTGAACATTATAGAAATAATTTCGAGATATAAGTTCATGTCATCTGCTCCTTTCACTGTGTTGGGCCCATCAGATCATGGATGCATCTTGTTGCCTCTCATCATTACAGCCGAGTCCCGCTTCTCATTGCTGCCGCACTGTGTATATGATGAGGGAGAGGAAGGTGTTTCTGCCCACTGCACTTCTCAGGGCACCGGGGGATGACTGGGACTCCTGGGCTGTGTATCTGTTGAACTTCTCAGTGTGGGGATCTCTGTAATCTCAGGCACCAGGAGTTTTCTGTCCCTTCCACTCAATCACTAAAACTCCTGGCTCCTGCTGAGAATAGACACTGTTGGCTGCTATTTGCCAAGAATCGTCAGAATGAAGAGAAGTCTGTATTTATAGTCTGTGGTACATCAAGGAGACACCAGTTGTTCAGTCTACAACCACCTCTTGCTCAGTCTACACCTTGGTCTCACATGGAACAGTTTAGTGATGCTCCCACTCCCCAATGTGTGACTATCAGTGTCTATTTTAGATTGTGTTTTTCCTCTTCAATTAGATTCCACTTTTAAATATATATATATATATTTTTTACTGATTTCAGAGAGAAAGAGAGAGGGAGGCAGAAACATCAATGATGACAGAGAATTATTGATTGGCCGCCTCATGCATGCCTCTCACTGGGGATCGAACCCACAACTGGAGCATGTATCCCGACCGGGAATTGAACCATGACTTCCTGGTTCATAGGTCTATGCTCAACTACTGAGCACACCGGCCAGGCTAGATCCCACTTTTAATATGTTTATTTTTTTATTTTTAAAATATATTTCTTTATTGACTTCAGAGAGGAAAGGAGAAGGAGAGGGAGATAGAAACATCAATGATGAGAGAGAATCATTGATCAGCTGCCTCCTGCACACCCCCCCACTGGGGATCAAGCCCGCAATCCAGGCATGTGCCCTTGGCCGGAATCGAACCTAGGACCCTTCAGTTAGCAGACTGATGCTCTATCCACTGAGCCAAGCCGGCTAGGGCTTAATGTTTATTTTCAAATCATTATAGATCACAGGAAGTTGTAAAAATAATACAGATACTTGTCCCTTCCTTCACCCAGTTTCTCGCAATGATTCCATTACTCAACCATTACAGTATTAAAAGGAAGAAGTTGACATGAATACTAGTACAATGTGCACAGTTCTATGTCATTTGATCACGTTTAGATTTGAGTAGCCATCGACACAGTCCACATACTAATCTAGTCCATCATCATGAAGATGTCCCTCATGTTGCCCTTTTACAGTAACAGCCACCTCCACCATTGTTCTGCAGAAGACTATTAAAAGGATGAAACACCAGTCTTCAACCCTGGTAACCAATGATTTCCTTTTTTTTAACCAATGATTTCTTACCCATCTCTATAATTTTGTCACCTTCAGAATGTTATGTTAATGGGATCAGATAGCATGTGAGTTTTTTTCCTTTGTTTAATGTAAAGAACCAAAGCATGTAAGATTTTGAGAATGGATGTGTGTTTTTCCCACTAAGCCAAATGTCCTTGAGAGCCATTCAAGTTATTGTGTGTGCCAACAGTCTGTTACTTTTTATTCCTGAATAGAATGTATCATAGTTTAACTACTCAGCTGTTGATCTACATTTTGGATGTTTCCAGTATTTGGCTATTGCGAAAAAGGCTGACATGAACATATATGCACAGAATTTTGTGTGGATAAATGACCAAGATGGAGATTTCTGGGTCATAAGGAAAGTGTGTTTAATTTTATTTTAAAAAACTACCAAACTATTTTGCAGAATGATTATCATTTTTTAAAAATATTTTTTTATTGATTTCAGAAAGGAAGGGAGAGCGAGAGACAAAAATATCAATGATGAGAGAGAATCATTGACTGACTGCCTCCTGTACAC